TATTTATAATTTTTTAAAATATTTTTAAAACTGGTGATATTTATTATATATTTTAATTATGTTCTTGAAATATTTTATAATTTTAATATTTACTATTATCGTTTTACATTTTTAAAACTATGTAATTCTTGTGAATTAATCATCCACCATTTTAAAATTTATTCTGTAAAAATGATACATTTTTAATGCAAATTGTGACATTCTGCTACAACCAACAAATAAAAATTCAGTGTACTTGGTTATCAAGGAAACAAAGACCATGCTTAATATGTGAGATGTGTTAAGAAAAAAGAGAAAAAAAAATCAAGGTAAATTAAGTTTTATATTTTTACTGTCCAACACAATACATCATTTGAAAGTTGATGGAAATGTTTATGACCTTTTAGAAAAATGACTGAATTCTTCTGTGATGTGTATGTCTACTGTTGGAAATTGTTAGTGGACAAATGAATCTACTGAGTGCAAAAAGTATATTTCTTTCTTTAAAAGAGTAGCCGTAGTTGAGTCATCAGTCAACCGAATTACTCACCGAAGTCATCATAGCGGTTACTGAATGAACATCTGCAGCATAAACGTGCTGCAGTACTAACCACTAGACCATGGGTCAAACAAGAAGCAATACTTCTGACAATAGTTTCTCCGAGCAACTGTTTGCTGCGAGCGCGTGTGCGAATGAGTCAGAGTGTGAGTGTGTCCATGCTGCGTCCGTCTCTGCCAAACTGACAAAGTGACTCCAGCCGCTCTCCTTCGGCAAGCTGCTGCGGTACATGCTGAACAAAACACACCAATCTCCACAAGCGGCCAGCTCTCCCTCCCGCGCATTCTCCATCCGTACCGCACCACCTAATGCTGCCCACGTCTCGGACCACGTGCCGGTGCCCAGGCTGCGTTGTAGCGGCTGTGGGCGCTCGTGCCCAGGCGAGCTGGTGCCGCTTGGAGTGCCCGGCGTGTGCTGGAACGCGACAGCCCGCTGGTCCCAGGGCACCCATCACATGCCCATCTTTAAGCCATCTGCAAAGTAGAGCAGTTCCCGCCAAAGCATTAAATTAAATCCTTGTTTGGGCTGATTAACAAATGGCCTTGTTTTTTTGTGTTCCGTGGGCTTGGTTTTTCCTCCTGTCCTGCTGAAGCTCCATCACGTCAGAACGAGCGTGGCAGAGGCAGTGAGCCTTCGGGAAGTCTCAGGAGTGGCTGGGATGTTTTGGGGGGAAGTTTGCTCAGGATCGCGTCTGTCTCGAAAGCGGCCCGTCCAATTCTCCGTCCCACAGCCATCAGGCTGTCACAGACCACAGACAAATGAACAATTAATCTGGGCTTGTAATTGAATGGCACCTGGTATGATATTTTAATTGTTCAATGGAAGCTGTTTGGATCTCGAAACTTAATTGGAATGGGGCGGCAGGGACTTTGGATGTCCTGTTGCATTTTTGCCTGGCGATCGCTCAGGTATTACCTGCAAGCTTGTTAGTCAGAGAATTTGTATTGCTGTGCAGTTTCTTAGGCATAATCGTTGAAGAATCGACGGTATTGATCAGTCGCTAATCTGTATTTCGCATCGAAAGGTGTTCACGACCCTGGTGCTTGGTAATAATGCTAACCAATAGGACTGTTTAGTTTGACCAAATGCTCTGGAAACTTGATGGTTGAAGCATCACCGGCGCCTGCCAGACCAACTGTCCGCCTACTGTTTTGGATCTAAAGAAACAAATTTCATGATTGAGAAGCCAGTAAAAATGGTTTGATGAAACAGCACTGGCTGGGCTCGAGCGACATTTGCTTTTAGTCATGCAGCCCCTTCTGTTCAACCCCTGGCTCTGTCAGCGGTACAGTGATTGTACTCTACGATGGTTAACAAGACACCATGGTTGATCCAGGATCAGATCGTTGATTAAACTCTTTGCTTTGCGCTTGCCCATAACTGATCCACCAATAACAAGAATAATGTTGTGTGTGACAGCTTGTGCTCACTTTAGAGAAGACAAAAGCGACAAGCATGTATTATATTATATTATATTATATTATATTATATTATATTTATGTAGCTAGAAGTTTACAGCATTCACCAGTATTCCACCACAATAAAAGCTTGATGGTTTGAATCTATATGAAATTTAACATAAATATTAGCATTGTAACCTGCAATATAAAGTAAAATAATTATAATTAGCTTTTTATTTTTTATTTTATAGGACAACTGCAATTTACAACAGTAATATATTTATATATTTTATTTTTAAAGTTAGTATAAGTTGGTGTATAAGTATAATAATACTAATATATAAATAATTTAAAAATAAAAAAAGTTATTATAATACTTTTTTTTAATCTAAAAATATGCAATATTTTATCTATTTACCTGCATGTCCTGTGAACTTTAACCAACATCAGAGAACCATGAACATTTTTGAGAAGAAAATATTAACTTAAAATCTCAGGGATTACTTCCAGAAAATATATTATGATTTTAGCAAATGGCTGCAATATAACAAAGAGTGAAAAATTTAAGGGGGTCTGAATACTTTCCGTACCCACTGTATATATATATGTATAGTATAGTATAGTATTTCAGTCTGGCGAGTAAACAAAAAAATTTACTAGCCAATGGCGATTCAATTGCCAAGGTGTCCGTATAGGGTTGTTTGGGTTACGAGTCCGACTCTCTAACCATTAGGCCACGACTTCCCCCACTTTTACGTCCAAGGGGACAAAATAGGGAAACCCTGTATTACATTGTTATTATTATTTGAATTTTATGTTATTAATTTTATATTATTATTTTGGCTTTTGTCAGTTTTTAGTGTCAGAAAGAGAAAATTAGAGACTGATGAGAGGGGTAATTGAATAATGACATGTTGCAGGCTGGATTCGAGCCTATGTTTGCCATTTGAGCACCACAACATGCCTGGCCAGTTCTTTATAAGTCATGGAAATTAAGCTGAATGCTGTCTTTGAAAAATCAACAAGCTCTTTTACTAAAGTTTTATCTGTAGAGAAAATACCTTGGTCAGTGATCAACGGTCGTCATAGCAATCATGCATAAATGTATCTATGTGTCGACTCACAGCCCACTTTTATCCTTCTTCCCTTTTCCCTTCTTTTTTTGTACCTTGTGATTGGAAGGCGGTTGCCTCTATTCAGCTGTTCCCTCCTACCCAGCGATTCCTCTTCCTCATTGAGGCATACCGGCGAAGACCTCCGTCTCCTCAAATTAACATGAGCAGGTGTTTTTCTCTGATGTGTTAATTAGGAGAAGCTGGTGTCATTATGCTTTAAGTGGATGTTACAAATAGAACATGTTGTTTATTTTCTCTTCTGCTGAAAAAAGTGATCAGAGCTGTCACGAGGCTCATGTGTCACTTAGAGAAGATCGTGGCTAATTACCAGGAGTTCAGAATCAGAAACGACATGTCTGTGGATTCTCCTGCGTCTGCGCTTGAACGAATACCAGATTGTCTATCTTAATAAATAGGATCAGCAAGAACAGATTTAAACAGTTGAGTCCTGAGGTTAGATTGCGTAGTGCGATGGCTTAAACAATGACAAAAATAGGATGCGTTTGTGTTTTCTGTTTTGATATCCCCGAGTTTATTTTTATAAACTTTTAAAAGATTTTTTTAATTAGCATTTTTTTCTTTTTAATAAAATCTTTTTTTTTTTCTCTCGCACAGTTATTGTATGGCTTCAGAAGTCTTGTAATATAGCAGTGAATGAAAAATGAATGTGTTCATCAGTAGTTGATGCAATGTTTAAATGTTGAGAAAACACTTTTTTGTAAATCCAGTGGTCAAATGCTGTATGGCCTCTCAAATTTCTGTGTAATTATAGCCACCTGACTAATGACTGGTTTTTGTGTGAATGTCAGCAAAACTGGAAGACTTTCTGAGTGTATATAAGGTGTAGGCTATTTTAGAAAAGAACATTTAAAAGATGGAAACGAGGAATTATGGAGAATCAATAAATTATGAATAATTTATTGCTACTGTGTGGATATGTAATCATGCAATCAATACAAAAGTAACTGTAGTCCGATTTCCACGTATTTTAAAATGTAATTTAATCTAATTACAAGTGCTTGATTTTTGGAATCTGATTACTTAATCCAGATTACATGTAATCAGTTACTACCCAGCTCTGACTATAGTATATGCTATGAAATTTCCTTTTTTTCCTTGTGTTTACCACATGGTGTGATTGACAAGCAACAGACTGACAAGCAACTGAAAATCAAACTTTTCATTGTTCACTGTACGAAATTGCAAATGAACAAGTGTGTTTGGTTTCAGCATCCAGCATGCATCACTCAGCAGGCAGATGTTGTGTGCATTATCACTCTTGGAGCCTGTTATTGGACTGTGTGTGCGTGCGGCTTTGCCCCCTGCGTGGTGATGCTGACACCCTTGTAATCCTGCTGTTTATTATTAGATAGCACAGGCTGTTGCACCAGAAGTTTTGCATGATAATATGGCGTGACCAGCTGCTCAGCAGATGTTGTTTTTTGCGGCTTTAGCATAGAAAGGTTAAAGGTGTCTGTGCTGCCCCCTGTGAGGATTCTGTGACCCCATCCGTGGTGCGTTTCCGCACGCGTTTCACTGTAAGCTGACCTGGTGCCACCGGCCCTGGTTTGAGTTGTTCTAACACCTGCCCTCGGATTTAGGCAGATGATGCTGTAGCTGACAGCTGGACTAGCAGTGGTAAACATGTTAACATTTTAATCCTGTGTTTAGTCATTTGCAAAGTCAAAATGAAGTCAATTCAATGGATAAGCACCATCTAATCGTGTTCATTCTGTGTGTTTGGGATATTAATCTTGTGATATTAATTCATGCAGTTTGTCACTACCCGAAACAATGTGGGTTTTTAATGAAAATGTGTTTTCCCTCAGTTGTAAAAGAAAAGAAAGTGTGAAGTTTGTGTGAGTTTTTAGTGTACATGTATTCGCTTAAGCCGTTTGAGGTCATGTGTTTTGTTATTTGTCATTTAAATGATTTTTTTTCCCTCAGGTGAATATATTAAGAATTGGAGACCTCGTTACTTCCTGCTAAAAACCGATGGGTCCTTTATCGGATACAAGGAGAAGCCACAGGATGCAGATCTTCCCTACCCTCTCAATAACTTCTCTGTTGCAAGTAAGTGATGCCTTCAAAGCAAGACAAATAACATTTTGTACATTCTTTTTTCTCTTGTGAGGCAACAGAGAGCTCAGTCTCCTTGAATTAACCCAAGAGTGGGTTCACTGATCTGTATTAAATCCAAAATTATGTTCATATACTAATTTGACAGCAAAAAATTGCTAGCACACATCAGCACAATGTGGTTTTGAATGGTCTTTTGTATAATTTCTCTATAATTTAAATTTCTCTCAAACCATTAGAATAAAACAGGCTGTAATGTACTTTTAAATGACAAACATGTAAAATGACCTTTATGAGGTACATTTATAAAAGGCTCACAAAACAAGTACAGAAATGTGCCACTCAAGCTTTTAAGGCAAATCTGAAATGATCAAGGATCACTGAAAATAAACTTCAACCACTCTTTTCTAATGTTGTGATATATCCAGATGTGCAAAGATGTTAATGATTTAGCCGTAATGCTTTGCAGTCTTTCACAGTTCTGTTTCACCTTGTTTTTAAATGATTTTTGGGGAATAAAATTTATGTTTTAATGGAATAAAATCATGGAAAGCAGTGACTTATTTCCTCTGGAACACAAATCAAGCTCAAGCGTGTGGCTTTCAGCGCTGGTTTCTGGACACGTGCTGCAAGCGGCTCCCCATCCCTCCATCCGTCAAAAGGCCCAGCCAGGTTTTAATCTAAAGGCTGGAGGAGCGAGGGGTGGCCATACATCCGGCCTGGGCCGCTTGGCAGTGGGAGAGGATTGCCACATCTGTTGCAGAAAGCTGGGATGCCAGGTGGTGCTGGGAGCCTGATAGCCTAATGCACTCTCTGAAATGGCATCGCTCTCACCCCCTGTGCAACGAGCTGCCACCAGACTGCCTTCCTCCGGACCGCTCTCACAGAGTCCTGTACACAGCCTGACCAGCCCTGCATCTGCTTCCTAGTACACCACAGTCCATATTGACCAATTTGTCTTTTTTAACAATGATTGCAGCATATGACAAATCGCTTTGCTCGGTGAGATCCACCAATTTGTTCTGTTTAGAGCTTCCACCAGCAAAGATGGAAACGCTGCCTTATATAAGTTTTTTGACACAGGAAATTTTGACAGATACATATATATATGAATATAAAGATGTATATTTTCAATAAATTCTGTTTTTTGAACTTTCTATTCATCAACAAATCCTGAATAATTTCTTAAGCAGCAAATCAGCATATTAGTAGGACTCTATGAATATCCTTGATGCGGAAAACGCAGACGAAATTGTGGAATCCAGTCCTAAAAATGGAATTTACTGCATAACGCGGAATGTCACAGAATTTGTCAAATTTCGGATGAATAAATCAAAAGAAGGTCAGCACACTTAAATCAAATGGTGGTATGGACTAGTGTCTGTGAATATTAAACTACAAAAAGGCTATTTAAATATGAATCATGCATTTTTCTGTGTGAATGAATAGCACAGACACACGGTTTCGTTCACTACACAAACGGGCGTGACGTTCACGGTATTTTCAGCCGTCTCACTATATGAGTACATGAACACATGAACACCATCTCCAGAGCTGCTCTGAGAGTCACTTCATGAGCATTTTACCATTTCATTTGAGAAAAACTATCGTCATATCAGAAAACATTAATTTATAACGTTTTAATAAACCGAACATTTATTATTAATGAATTATTTTATTTTATTATTTTTTTAACAGAAACTTTTTCTGGTTATGGTTTTCACAGCAACCCATAAACATAAAAGTTCGGTTTTACTTGAAGAAATTTTATATATTATAAATATATTACTCACTGTAATAATAGTACTACTACTTACTACTATTATTATTTTAAAAAATATATATTAATTATTATTTTTAAAAAACCATGTATTAATTTTAACTGTAAACCTCTGTTGTGCAGCACTTTGTTTGCCAAAAAATGGAAGAGCTTGTTTAATTTTAATTTAAAACCTTAAAAGGTAAATTAATGTTTTATGCCTTCATTTATGGAAAAATTTAAATACACAACACAGTATTTCTGAAAGAAATAAAATCATAGGGCCTTATTAGTGTAAACAAACAAACAAACAAATAAATAAAAAAGCCAATAAATAAATAAAATTATAATAAAGTAAGTTGATTTTATAAAGTCGATTAATTAGAGATTTATTTTATTATTAAAATTTAATTAAACCATTAAAATGGAACCCATACAAATTAAAATGAGAAAACTGAATTTGGTAAAAATGAAACAGAAAAAAAGTAAAAATGTAATTTTTGTTAAACTTTTAATGAATTGCTTTTAAATTGTATAAGTAAATGCTTTTTGATACAGTTTAACTGCATTTGTGGGGAATAAATAAAATGGAATTCATAGGGGCGTAAAAAAAAGTGATTTCTGAAGGATCATGTGATACTGAAGACAGGGGTAATGGCTGCTAAAAATTCAAAAACTTTTGGTTAAAAAGGTATGAAAGTTTTTGAAAACCAACTTGAATACAAAGAGTAGATTTCTAAGTACTTGATACATTTAAGCTACTTTTTTTTTTTAAGATTTGGAAACTCTTTGTTTTTTAACCCTCCAGCCTTTTTCTTCAAAGCCAGTCCTCGCTAACATTTACACAGCTGATTGCCATGTTTTGTCTCCTGATGTTTTTGTGCATTGGCACCCTCTCAACCTTATTTTGGACTTGAGAAACCTTTAAGAGATGATGTTGCATGTTTGCGAGCAGTGGAAGTCGCAGCTTCTGGGCTGTTTAATTGGCATGCTAGCTTTCCTTAGCGTCTCTTGCTTGAAGCAATGCTCGTCATCTGTGATCTAATGTGGCAAAGCAAACAATACTGTCACCTCTGCCTCCTCTCCTCCTGAGGTGTCACATTCTGGCTGCTGTGACCTTGTTTTTCTGCACTCAGCGTGGGACTCGATCTTCCCCTGCTGCCCAGGTTGATGTTCTGTACAGTGCGTGGCTTCGTGACCTTAGCGGTGTCGTCATTAACCTTCTTGTCTAAATTTAGGCCCTGCCGTCATTCAGAGGTGGCTGAAATTGGCAAGCTTAGGGCCCTCATTATGGGACTGGCAGTCCAGGCTGCTGTTGCGTTTCACCTGTCGTCTGGGCATTGTCCCCAAAATCTACAGCGGCGATGAGCCCAGTCTGAACATCACCTCTGTCCCCTGCTACTTTCATAAAGTATCCGAGATGTGCATTACTTCCCTCCGACTGGGCAGTGGCTGATGTATATGAAATGTTGCGCCACATTCCAGCAAATGTACCTCTCGCTCGTTCATCTCACCGTGGCACTCTCTCACCCGCTGCCTCCTCTCTGCTAATAGCCATTTGTTTTACATCGGACTCGCTGCTCCCCTCTGTTTATCAAATAAAACATTCTGACAATGGCAAACACTCGCAGCCGGAGAGTTAGGAAGTGGGCTGGGTTTACTTTATATTATTCTTTACTGCCTATGATTGACGTGTATATTTATATAGTGTGTATGTTTGTTTTTTTCCATTGTGCAGATGAAATTTAATGTGGCTACAATTTACTTTGGTCTGTCATTCCAGAATGCCAGCTGATGAAAACTGAACGACCAAAGCCGAACACTTTTATTATTAGATGTCTACAATGGACTACAGTCATAGAGAGGACCTTCCATGTGGACACGCTAGAAGAGAGGTGAGAATGGTCTCTAATATAGAAAACACAACTATTAAGAGAATCATTATACGTCCATTCCAACATTAATGTACCATTGGTAACCATTTTTAACATTATATAGTTGCTACAACTAAACAAAACTGTTGATTCGCCACCACTTCATACAAAAAGAATGTATTGTTTGGATGAGAACTCTATTATTTTCATTACTAACTATTAACTGCTACTACTAACTCTACTACGCTACTTACTCATTTTAATTTAAAGCATTAATAATGACCATAGTAGAAAATATGATATACCCCTACCTTAGTAATTGCTTGGCTGATAATGTAGTGGTTACATTTATACATTTAGCTGATGCTTTAAGTAGTCTATCACAGATCCAGAAATATTCACAGTGTACAATGCCAGGTTTATTAGAAAGCTAGATTAAGGCTGTGGAGTGGTTAAGCGTTTGCGGAAGAGGCAGTGAAGCTTAAATATATGGGTAAATGGGTGATAGTTTACTGACCCAAGTTAAAATAATCCATGCACAGTCTCTGTTATTCTGGCTCTTAAATTAGTCTTAAGTCCTTCCTTCAGTTTGAAGTCTCTGTGATTTTCTTTGTCCCAAATGAAACTGTATGTGTGATCACTACGTGATTTGATTTTGTAAATATACCCTACATATGAGCAACAAAAATAGTGATGCTCACCTTTAGCAAACCCATTTTCCAATTAGTAAGAGAAAAGGCAACCCTAAAGGTGTTTTACCAAAACACTGGCTCACATTATGAGCTGATCATCTTTTATATGTCAGTTCTGTTAGAATCTATAGACAAAAAAGCATGTCCCATAAGAATGTAAGTGATAATGAACTGTTTGTAGCTGTCATAGAGACAGAAAAACATCACACATCATTGTTTGCATGTATAGAAGAACCAGAATCATTAGAAAATTTGACCAGTGTGCACTTACTGTAAGTTGATCTGTATATTATTTAGAATTTGTGGTACCACTTTATATTAGGTGGCCTTAACCAGTATGTACTTACATTTCAATTAATATTTGATACAATGTACTTATTGTGTACATACATGTTTTTACATTTAACATATTTTAAAAATGCCTGTATGTAATTACATCTGTAGATAATTTATAACTACACTGTTGACCCATCCCTTACACTTTAAGCCACCCTTAAACCTACCCATACCGCCATTTTTTGATGCAAGTACATAGTAGTTAAGGCCACCTAATACAAAGTGGGACCAAATTTGCATTAGTTTTCAATAATCCAGTTGTTCATAACCAATTAGTCCTTAAAGGAATCACATTTTTTTTATGATGATCAGTGATGATGATAATTTATTGACAGTGTGCAGTCCAGTCCTCTTATAGCTTCTTTTTACAAATATGCTTTTTGTTTCTCAATTTGAAGTGGGAGAAAAACACACAACATCTTTTAGTAGATTTAGAATTTTCTTTCCAAAAATGGTCAAACTTGTTTAATTTTCATTGATTTTGATACCATTAAACTAGGATTTTTTTAAATCTCCCCTGTCCAAGAAGCTGAGAAATATTTGCCTGTTATTGTTGTCAGTATCTTTTTGGGGTCACAGAATAATGGTTAAGCAGACCTTATAACAGCGTTTGAAAGAGACCGAGAGAACATCTGATCACACAAAAAATATGAACAGACACTGAGCCGTTTATCCTTGCACTCCTAACTTGCTTGTCTATCTATCACAGGGCATTGCAGTCCAATGCGCACTTTGTTTACACCACACACACACACACACACACAGCTCTGAACAGGAGTGGGACACGGCGTACTGGCAGAGGCCCAGAAACTGCAGGCCTACATGTGAGGAGGAGAGATGTGGCGACAGCTGGCATCACGCCAGACTGTATTCAAAGCCTTTATCTCTCATTAGCAAAAACCGCTCATTATACACCAAACCACTCCACACCCATTCATCCGCACGACCTTGAGAGGGTGCGCAGGGCCCTTCGTATATGTTACTGTTTTAACCCAGTGGATCTTGAATTTGCCTTGGGATTTCAAATGCACCACCATCAGGATTGTAAAAAAGAGCCAGAATAGAAATCCATACATTATGTTGGAGATAATAAATATTTCCATCTCTTATTCTTTTTGATGATTCTCCACTAACAAATGGCAGTGCACAAGAGTGCATGTTTTCAGACTCTGCCTGGTAGGGTTGGATCAATACCAAAATGTTTTGCTTTGGTACGATACCAGCCTCTAGTACGTCTGTATCAATACTAAATCTGTACCTTATGCAACAATTGAACAACCTTGGCCAATGGAGGAAATGAAACTCTGGCTGTCAATTGATGCAATAAGTCCGTGTAAAGAAAAATACATATACAATATGTATTATTTAAGTATTAATATCTAAAGTAGTTTTTGTTAAAACATTCTGTTCATTTTGGATGACACTTAAAGCATGCAATCTTTACTGTATGAAGCAGTTGCAACATAAATATGATTTGTTATTAATAATACCATTCAGCACATTATGACTTTATTTATTCCACTTAGTAGCATACATTGCTGTTCAAAAGTTTTGGGTTGGTAAAATTTTTATATGTTTTTAAAATAGTTTATTTTGCTCACCAAGACAACATTTAAATGAACACAAGTACATTCAGCACAGATTACTCCAGTCTTCAATGTCACATGATCTTTCAGAAATCATTCTAAAATGCCGATTTGCTGCTCAAGAAATATTTGTCACGCATGCTTGCTGAATAAAAAGTATTATTATAAGTATTAATAAGTATAAGGATTATTTCTTTAAAATCTTACTGATCAACTTTTGAACAGTGATGTATGTGTGTATATACTGTATGTGTTTCATACAAAATTCCTCTAAAACCTCTTTAAACCATTAAAATAGACTAACATAGCTAGACTGAGCAGGCTAGGAGACCAGATAACCACCTTAAACTAAGTTTTTTTTAATCAGCATGGTGAACTTCCAAAATGTGCTGAATAGTGACACGTTGTTTAAGATGGGTACTAAAATTGGCTAAATTATGATATTATTATATACCACTGTAAACTTGCAGTACTGTGCTGTACCACATAGCCCTACTGTCTAGTTCAGTCTGCTTCTGTGAAACAGTGAGAAACTGCTAGCTTCGCTCAGATGAATCCATCATTATTAAACTAACACATGCTCAAAAACATGAATGCACCACTGATTCTACACAACAGATGTTGTGCTGCACGACAAATGAAAACTCAATGGAGGGAGACACTATTCTCAGAGAGGGGCGGCTTCCCCACTCATGTTAGATTATACTGTCACCTAGTGAGAACGGCCTTGTGAATTACTCAGATGGTCTGGCCTGATGTCTTCAATAAAGTAAAAAGGTCACATTCACATTTCAGTTTACATTTATAACTGAACCATGTGTTCGTTTAGTGTCTCTCAGATGTGTTCTTGAAGTATTAAGCAGTGTTATTTTGTTTTAATAAATGGCTTTTTTAGAAACATGGGCTTTGTGTGTGTTTCCAAAGGGATGAGTGGGCAGAGGCGATCCAGATGGTGGCAGATAAACTCCAAAGACAGGAAGAGGAACGTATCCAGTGTAGTCCCACCTCACAGATAGACAACATGGGAGAGGAGGAGATGGACACATCTATCAGCCATCACAAACGCAAGGTGCCTTTGAATACAGATTTTGATGTTTGCTGTGGACATCATAAGCCTGGGACATTGGGAAGCTGAATGACAGAAACCAGCAAAAAGTTATAGAGGATTATTAAAAAGAAAATAGTTCACCTAGAAATGACATCTGGCTAAAAATGTACTCATCCTCAGGGCCATCCAAGATGCAGAGTTTGTTTGCTTATTGATTTGGAGAAATGTAGCATTACGACACTTGGATGGATCCTCTGCAGTGAATGGGTGCCGTCAGAATGAGAGTCCAAACAGCTGATAAAAGCATCACAATAATCCACAAGTAATCAACTTGACACCAATCCATCAATTAAACTGTGTGTTTTTAATGAACACATCCATCAGGGCGATTTAACTTTAGCTTCTACCAGTGACTTTTCAGTACATTTTCTGCAGATTTTCATTGTTGGGTGAACTATTCATTTATTTCTGTGCCTGCTAGTAGAGTGTGGATGCTGAACCCAACATCACATTATGAACCAAGCAGCAAAGACAATGTAAATGCACAATAAACATGTTTATCAACATGATTTTTTTTTTGCTATAGAAGCAATATAAAGTTGCGAAACAAACTCTCAGGCATTGTTCGATTCCAGATGATTTAAGCCATTTGTAGCTGCTCTTTGTAGTTTGGGTTCTAAATTTGAGCCCCTCCTCATGTAAACTGGATCTCATGATAATCAAGTTTTATTCTGGCACACTCCCAAATAAGCATTTTCTAGTTTATTCAAGAAATACTCAGTGTAGTAACCCAGAAATCACTCCAATTTTCTTTCTCGAGCAGCAGCAGAAGCGCTGTCAGTGTGAAAGCTCAGTGCACGCCTACAGCTGCAGATTCAGGATATATGAAACAGACCTTACGACTCAATTGCACAAAATTAGGAAGCTCTCTCTCGATAATGTCTTTTAAGGCTGTGTATTTCTGGGAGTTTCATCATTTTTAAGCAACAAGCTAATGTACAAACATGTCAGTGTGTTGGTGGCAGTGAAGTCTCTAAGCAGCAGGATTACATCCCCGCAGCAGATATGCGAGATGTGAACGTATTCTGATTGAGTTACATTAACAAAATAGAAATGTAGACCCCAATTATATGCATTGCATTTCAGTAAGTCTGACAATTTATTGCTTTTTCTTTTTTTTTGCAGACAATGAATGACTTTGACTACTTAAAATTATTGGGAAAAGGCACTTTTGGAAAAGTCATTCTCGTACGGGAGAAGGCCAGCGGGAAATATTATGCAATGAAAATTTTAAAGAAAGAGGTTATTATAGCCAAGGTAAGAATAATGAGGAATATTTAGTGAATAAATTTGAATTATGTTTTGATTTTTTTCTAGTGCTGTCAAACGATTAATCGCGATTAATTGCATCCCAAATAAAAGTTTTTGTATTTTGTAAAAACAAACACATGCATATATATATTTAAGAAAAATATGTTATGTTTATATATTAAATATATATACAAATATAAATATATACATGTAAATATTTTCAAAATATATACTGTATGTGTGTGTATTTATATATACATAATAAATATACACAGTACGCATACATATATTATGTAAACAAAAACTTATTTTGGGTGCGATTAATCGTGATTAATCGTTTGACAGCACTATTTTTTTCATTCTGTTTGTTATTTATCTGGGTTCAGATCTCAAAGTTGTAGGCAACGACATTTTAACGCAGTTATAAAAGTGTAATTTTAATCCCATGCTTTTTTGAGAAGCTTTGTAATACAATTCTCATTAAATCCACTGTGCACATGTACTGTAAGCAAACCTGCTTTATCTTGAGAAAACACAATTCATGATCCACCTTCTCTTTCTTCCCGTAGGACGAAGTGGCCCACACGCTTACAGAAAGCAGAGTACTAAAAAACACGAGACATCCTTTTTTAACCGTGAGTGCACATTTTTATAATGAACTATCACTCAGAGTGGATTTACAGAGACCTTAACACTTCCCAGTGCTTTTGTATATATGATTGGCTTTTCCCTGGAGCTTCATTATAATGTAGAGAATAAACTGTAATAAATTAGCGGCCTAAATGTAGCTGTGCATCTGTTGAGAAGTCGCCAGTGAGAGGTAATTTTCTGACACTCCAGATGCTGTTGTATGCCACGCAACATACACAGCAGGTTTAGCAAAACAATTTACCACTGTCAGTCAATCTGGTGTTCCCTCGTAAACTTCACCTTCCCTCAAAGTTAGCATCAAGGCCTGCGAGAAAGAGCAAACGCTCCTTTCATTTTCTCTCGAGACAAACGTTTCTCTCACCACATACATTTTGATGAGCGTCTCTTACTTTGCGTTTGTTTTAGGTTTTTTTGCTTTTGTTTTTCCTCTAATGGTGTATCCACCTGCTGTTTCAGTCTTTGAAGTACTCGTTCCAAACAAAAGACCGCCTATGCTTCGTGATGGAGTATGTCAATGGAGGAGAGGTACGTGTGTGTCTGCATTTGTCTTTTGTGTGTCTGTCTTTTCGTCTGTGTTGGCAGACAGTCTATTTCTGTAGTAATGCTGTCACTAATATCTAAATACTCACTGTGAGGCTGTGCTGAGCTAAAAATGTTAATCTGTTATCAGGGAAAAGTTAAGTGCAAGATCATATCTTGTGATGCATTTACAGTTCAAAGAGACTTTCTCTTGTCCTTTGAAAAATTTAACAAGTAGCAAAATGATCATCCAATATTATTAACAGCCGATAACTATATTTTAGTGTCTAAAAGTTTATATGCGGAACCAATGTTTTTAAGTATGCTTTTAAATAATAATAATTGTTGTTATTGTTTTATGCTGATTTGCTTTGCTACCTAAATGGATATAACACAAAATGAATATCTAATAACAGCAACAACAACAATAATAATTACTCTTATTATTACTATTTCTTACACCATTTTATGCATCTAAATGATTAGAAATGTATTGTTTTATGCACATTTGTTTTGCAACCTAAATGGATAAAAACAAAATTTATATTAAATCAATAGCAACATGTATATTTTTATTTATTACGATATTTTATGCATTACTTTAAATTATTGTTTTGCGATCTAAATGGTTAACATGCATTGTTATTATTATTTTATGCACATTTGTTTTGCAACCTAAATGTAAAAAACGTTGTAAAATGACTATTTAAACAATAACAACAAATATTATTATTTTATATTTATTTAATTATTTTATGCAAAGTTGTTTTGTTATCTACATGGTTAAAATGTATTATTTTATTATTGCTATTAGCATTTACATTTATTAATTTAGCAGATGCTTTTAGTCAAAGCGACTTACAAATGAGGGCAATAGAAGCAATCAAAGCAACAAAAGAGCTACAATATATAATGTCCTTGTGACAAGTCCTGGTTAGTCTAATGCCAGTTTTGTAATTGTAATTGTAGTGGACTGCGTGTAACTTAAAATTCACTTGAAAATGAATGGCTGTGACATAAAAAGTTGAGGAATTATGCAAACAAGGGATAAAGTTTTTACCTGTGAACACAGTTTGTTGTTGATTGTAATAGTGCTTACCAAATTGTGCCATTTATCAGCAGACAGATATTAAACAACCAATTGCTTGAAGAAAAATGTGAATATTGTTTAACAAATGTCAGTCAAACTGCCATAACTAGTAGCAGTTTGAAAAGTTTAGTGTTGTAAGTTCAGTTGAATACTTGTAGTCGTCCAGGATGCACTTGGTAGAAGTTTGACAGCATCACTCTGTTGATATGGCAGAGCGCAGGATTCCATCTTGAGGGGCTCAAGTTTTGATAAATGAAATTCCACCACCAACGGTGCTGTTTAATCAGAGAGGCGGCAATCTCGCTCTCATTCCCTCAGCCTGCAATGTCACCTGCTCCCCCTGCCTGGTCCAGCCAGAGCCCCTAACCTCCACATGCTGTGCAGAGCCCATCAGTCTCTCCCCTTTCAGCCTCGCCACATTCACAGCTGCCAGTGCTCTGATGAAGGCACACCTGTCCTCGGCCACCCCGGTCCTACTCACCCCCTCCTCCGGCTGATCAGCGGAGCCGTTAGCTCTCCCCGGACAGCCATATTCAAACATCCCACAGCAATTAATAGACAGACTCTCCTCGTCGGGCTTCTGGGTAATTTCTATAAGCCGGGTTCAAGTGGAGCCGAGGGCCAGACAGTTGACAGAAACCCTTGACATCTGACTTGGGAGGAGAGAGGAAGCGCGGGGCACTACATAAAAGACACAGCGGAGATGATTGCCGGGGACGGGGCACTCCTGCCACTTTAATGGAGCGTTAGCCCATGAGCACGCAGCGCTGCCTTTAACAAGATTGGTGTATTGATTAAAATGCTGATTTAACAGGCCGCGGCGGCCTGTCTCTGGAAAGCCGGGGATGATGTGCCAGCTGCTGTCTGGGTTCGCTGGGCGTCCTCCGAGGGCCTCGCCATCTATCATCTCAATATGGCGATGTGAGGCAGTTTGTGTTGTGTTAATTTCCTCCAATAAATCAGTAATTATTGCAATCCTGTCCCTGCTGTTTACCCTGCAGCTGTTTTTCCATTTGTCGAGAGAACGGGTGTTCTCCGAGGACCGCACGCGCTTCTACGGCGCCGAGATCGTTTCCGCCCTCGACTACCTGCACTCTGCCAAGATTGTGTACCGGGATCTCAAGGTAAACAGAAAAAGGGGAAAGAATTCATATATTTAGAGAGGAGGTTTTGTTTTGTCGCGATGCCTTTATCTAAGTGTATGTCATGGGATGCGGAAAATGTAATTAAAAGCTCTAGAGTTTGGGGCTTTTTTCTTTGGTTTTTGGAAACAAGGAACTCTGGCGGCTGTGGATGATGACACAGTGTTTTGCTCGCAGCCTTGGACCAAGCCAGTTGTGGAAGTGCCAAGAAACTTGGACAAACAGCTTAGCCATTAAAATTAAAAGGTTAAATTAATGTGGCTTGAAGTTTCTTTCCACTTCCAGTGAATAAATATATTATACCATGTAGTTGTCTACGTTTTTTTAGACACTATTTAAAGACATTATTAACATCATGAATTAAAAATACTAGTACACTTTAGGTACAAGTACTAACACAAGTTAGTAGCATATTTTTTGGATTTTAAGTTATTAATCATGACTTCAACATGTGTAAAAGCCATACAGTATATGTTCGTTGCATTAAGATGCTTTAACGATAAAGGAAAAACACTTTATGTCTGTCACATAGTAATTCAAGCATTCTATAAATGACTTAAATCCAATCAATTCAAAGTGCTAATTTGAAGCAGATTCAAAAAGAACTGTGACCTGTGAAACTGTGTTTGTTGTTTCGAAAAGTCAATAATCCACACTCTTTTCTTTTCTGCCCAGCTGGAGAACTTGATGCTTGATAAAGATGGTCACATCAAAATTACAGACTTTGGCCTCTGCAAGGAAGGAATCACTGATGCTGCTACCATGAAGACCTTCTGTGGGACGCCAGAGTATCTGGCACCAGAGGTAAAGAAACCCCTGATCATTAACAAAACCTGCAACTATCCCAAAATCTGTCAGAGGTAATCAATGGAGCATATGCAGGAGACCATGAACATGCCCATCGGTTTTTAAATGACAAATTTATGATTTCAGATCATATCATGAGAGTCTAGTTATGGCTTGAATGATTAAATGGTCCTATTAACACATTTAGTTACAGCTGTCATTACATGGAGTGCCTTGCATGCAAGTTTTAAGTAATATTTCACAATACATGTTTAACCTCTTGCTTTCTATGTGATTTAGAGCAAAAAACACACACTGCAATAATAATAATAATCAAGCTCTTAAACTACAGTGATACTGAATTAAGATGAGTCTTGCACAGCTTGTTTGGTTAAAGATACAGTAATGATCAGGAGCTTCCTTCAGTACACTGAACTGTACATCAGTGAACTCTTCAACATCTAGAAGCTTCTAATTTCTGGGAAGCCTCTATAAAATACATTATTCAAATGTTCCTAATGCATTCACACTGACACATGTAATACAATCTGGTGTATGTTCTTAAAAATAATTGTATCAAACCATGATTACAAATAATTGGAATCACTGTTTAATATAATGCAATACTGTACTTGTCATAATAGTCTGGTTACGATTATTTAAAAGATTGAACTGGTTATAAAATGTATTACAAATAAATAATCAAATTATAAAAATGCTGTAAATAAAATATTATGAATACATATAAATACATCTCTTATGCTCACCAAGGCTGCATTTATTTGATCAAAAAATAGAGACAAAAGCAGTAATATTGTGAAATATTACGGCACTTTTAAATAACTGGTTATATTTTGATATAAAATGTATTTTTATGCTGTTGAATATTTTTGTGGAAACCATGATACATTTTATATGTATGTGTGTGTATGTATGTATCATGATATAAAAAATGTATCATGGTTTCCTATTGCTTAACTATTTTTGTGGAAATATTAAAATAGATAAAATTTTCTTTTCTAATCTCTCTCTCTCTCTCTCTCTATATATATATATTACAATAGAATATATAATCTTTTTTAACATTATAAATATTACTGTCAGTTTTGATCAATTTAATGCATCCTTGCTGAATAAATGTATTAATTTCTTTCCTCCTTGTGACCCCAAATGTTTGTCAGTGTATGTATTGAATTAATCCTATATGAATATATTAATACCATTGTTATCCATTATATGTATAGGCTTCATAGAAAGTGTTGTAAATGTTAGATATTTATATCAGTAATATAAATGCAGCCTGTTAAACCAGAGCACAGATCATGTCTTTTAAATAGCAAAAGTAATTATCACTTTTATTTTCTTTGAACAGTAGTTTGCTGTTCAACCTTCTGTCCAACCAGAGGTGTGCATGGTGCCCAGATTGCAGTGACTAAATCCATATTTATAGACAGGAGGGGGGAGCAGGCAGGGGGCGGCAGCGGGAGTGAAGGGGGGATATAGATTCCACTCGAAAAAGTACGGAAGACAATTTGGCGCAACATTTTGTTTTGCTCAGCCTGGCCGCTGTGCCAGGAGATGATTTGAGTGTTGGTTATTTTTCACAAGAGTATGTGATTGCACAAAAAAGTACATGCTAAACAGAGGCAGATGGTGGCAGATGGGGAAGGTTGGAAGAAGGTGGCTGGGAAACCTGGAAATCTATACTGCCGTACTGGTGTAAAAATAACAGAGCACAGCCTGAGCCAAGTCCTGGAGATGCAAAGTAGGGGGGGATTAGAGAGAGAGAGAAATAGAAGAAAGAGAGAGAGAGAGTGTGAAAGATATTTAGAGGGAAAAAAAATTACTTTTAGGGTTACAGAAGTGAAATTGGAATAGTTTCGCTTAAATTTGGCCCTCACCAAATGTTTTAAGTGCTAATGAGAATGAATGAAGATACATTTACAGAAATACTTCTCTAATAACAGTTCGCTTTCACAAGCTGTATGTCATCTGTCATTGAGTTCTCATCTGCCACATCTTTAGCATTTTGTAATTGCAGCATTTCTACAGCATGTTTGCTACCAATAAAACACATTATCGCTAGCTTCCAGGTGTGATTCAGAGCACATTAGCTTTTTGTAAATGAGCCTACAGGACATGCGTTTGTCAGCATGCAGGTGTGGCTAGCGTTCATCTTCTTGAAGGATGCGTACAGGTGCTTAGCAGCAGGTAAGCGTGCATATGGCGATCCGTGCGTGTTTACAGTATGCACGCATATATTTGTATGCACTTTGCACACCCCTATTTATGTGCATGTGCACAAGCGTCCTCGTGTAGCCCGGCCAAAGTGGGATAAGCTCATGGAGGCTGTCTGTTCCACTGCCCTGCTGGGGAACTGGGCTGGTGGAGCCACAGGCTCTCTGTCCCATCCCTCCCTGGCCAGCCTTGCCAAGGGCCCAGTCCTGGGAGCAGCAGCCCTGCCACATGGCTGTCCGAGCAGGGGCCTGTTCCTCCCCTGCGGCCGCTCCTCCTCGCCTGTGGCTCTGGAACAGGGAGACCCCAACTGGCTCTGTGTGCATTAATCGCATCCCTGCCTGCAGCCGAGCTGCTCACATACACTCCCAGGACAAACAGCACAATCCGCCCATACATGCCACGCACACACATGAACGGTGTCCTCGTCCTCGCTTACGCTCCTGTTTGCTTCCAGAACACACAGTTCTGTCCAGTCCTGGATTTAGACATGCATAAACACACACATTCTGTCCAAGTATATTGAGTACACTTTCACTCACACTTATTAAAGCACCCTTAGCTGTGGTAAAATCACTGTAATGCACATGAACATCTGCAAAAGATGCATTCGGTTTCTTTTTAAGAAACAATAATGTTTAGCTGTTCATTTTGGATGGCACTTAATGCATGTGAACTTCACTGTATGAAGCAGCTGCCATGGAAATATGATAAAAGATAACCATGTTGTGTAAATAATTAATTATTAGTTATAAAAACAATAAATAATAATTCCGTGAAGTAATATAGTTCAAATCAAAAATGCAAAATGTACCATTCAGCACATTTGATATGACATTTATTTATTCATTCAAATAACATACACTCTCGTTTAAAATTTGGGATTGGTACGGTTTTTTTAAGTCTTTCATAAGTCTCTTATGCTCATCAAAGTTGCATTTATTTGATAAAAATACAGTAAAAATATTAATATTGTAGAATAATATTACAATTTAAAAGAACTGTTTTCTATTTTAATATATTTTAAAATGTAATTTATTCTAGTGATAGCAAAGCAGAATTTTTAGCAGCTGTTACTCCAGTCTTCAGTGTTACATGATCATTCAGAAATCATTCTAAGATGCTGATTTGGTACTTTTTTTTATTATTATCAGTGTTGATGCTACATAATATTTTTGTGGAAACTGATAAATTTTTTTCAGGATTCTTTGATAAATTTAATGTTTAAAAAAACAGCATGTATTTGAAATAGATATCTTTTGTAACTTTATAAATGTCCTCATAGCGTCTCTTTTAATTAATTTAATGTGTCCTTGAGAAGTAAAAATATAAAATACAGATCCCAAACTTCTGAACGTTAGTGTAGTTCAAAGCACACAATGTACCATTCAGATTTTCTCTGACATTTCTACGTGGAGTAGTCATATACACCCATCTCACTGTATGGAGGTTGTTAGCACTGTGTTCACACATGGACGTTCACATTGTGCTCCCTAATCAGACAGAGTAATGAATGCTGCGGTTGACTTATGCAGGTCTGCCTGTTTTTAAAGATCAGAGAGGAGACATCATTATAACACCACTCTGAGCATATGCTTAACTGGCTCTGTGCCAGCCAGCCTTGTCATTAGTCAGACATATTAATCACGACTCTCCTCTCTGAAGAGCTCCTCTACATTGCACACTAACTCCAGCCGCCTTGTTTCCGCCACCTAGTCTTTAAGAGCCACCGGTAAGGTGTGTAGCATCCTCAGTAATTGGGGCCCGGGACGCTTGCCCAAAAGCATAGCTTTGATCCAACGTTATCAGGCTTTTAGGATTGTGCTTCCAGGTTCCAAATATATCCTGAGCTGGATCTTTGACCTGATACACCGGTGCAGAATGAATGTTTAGACGCTTTTATCAGTCTAGCACTGATGGGCAGGAGAGACGGAGCTGGCTCACGCTGACATGGGTTTGGTGATGAGAAGCTCTACAGTAAGAGTGTGTGAAGTGCTGCCATTATCAGCTACTGATATTCATATATTAGCACTGATGTTCCTGACTGCCATTCATTTAGGAACTCTTAGCTGTGATGACTCTTATGGAGATGAAATTGATTCAGTGTTAAGTTACACATGAGCAACTTATTTTGAAATATGTTTACCTAGCTCTTCTTCTGCATCATTCAGAATTTAATTGAGAATGCCTTTTAAACTACAATTCAATTCCTGAATTTGATGTGAGGTAGCAAACAGGATTCTTTTTTCTTTCTTTTTTAATTAAAGGAACTATTTTTAACTAGAAAAGAGGCATTTGTCAAGGCAAACTTTGTTTGAAGTTTTGGGGAGAAAGCTTTTTGAAAGTTTATAGGCCTTATGAAGGGATAGAAAGACAGTCGGATGGGTAGATTGGTGGATGGATGGATGGATATATGTATGGATAGATAGATGGCTTGGATGGATAGATGGGTGGATTAAATGTAGTAAAATTGCAAGTCAATAAATACCTCTTTCCGTCGTCAAAATTCCAATTCAGCTTCCTGTGGGGTGTGTCCAATTCAATTCAAATTCACTCTCATGAACTGAAATTGAGTCAATTCTTCAGTTCTTAATCTTGCACAACACTGGTGCTGAGACGTCCATATTTTTGAAGTTTTTGAGTGTTTGTCAAATAATGATTAACAGGTTAACATATTTAACATTTAATAATGAGATTTTTTATTTCTGTACAAATTGTCCAGATACATTTTTGGGTCCACCTGTGTACCTGCGCTTGTACCTGTTTTGATATTTCTTGGGTTG